ATTGATGGGTACTTGGGTTGCTTCCAAATCTTTGCTATTGTGAATAATGGTGCAGTGAACATAGGGATGCATATATTCTTTTGAATCAGTGTTTTGGGTTTCTTTGGATATATTCCCAGAAGTGGAATCACTGGGTCATACAGCAGTTCCATTTTTAATTTTTTGAGGTACCTCCATACTTCTTTCCACAGTGGCTTCAGCAATCTGCATTCCCACTAAGAGTGCAAAAAGGGTCCCCTTTTTTTCACATCCTTGCCAACACTTGTTGTTCGTTGATTTATTGATGATAGTCATTCTGACAGTAGGAGGTGATATCTCACTGTGGCTTTAATTTGCATTTCTCTGATGATTAATGACATGCAGCATCTTTTCATATGTGTATTGGTCATCTGTGTGTCCTCCTTGGCAAATTGTCTATTCAGGTCCTTTGCCCAATTTTTAATTGGATTGTTTGTTTTTTTGGTGTTGAGTTCTGTAAGCTCTTTATCCATTTTGGATATTAGCCCCTTTTCAGATGTATCATTGGTGAACATGTTCTCCCATTCAGAGGGTTGTCTTTTCCTTTTGTTGATGGTTTTCTTTGCTGTGTGAAAACTTTTTAGTCTGATGTAGTCTTATTTGTTTGTTTATTTTTTGTTGTCTTTGCCTGATGAAATATATGAGAAAAATATTGCTATGAGAAATGTTTGAGATTTTACAGCCTATGTTTTCTTTAAGATTTTTATGGTTTTGAGTCAACATTTTAGTCTCTAATCCATTTTGAATTTATTCTTGTGCATGGTGTTACAAGATGGTCTAGTTTCTTTTCTTCTTCTTCTTCTTCTTCTTCTTTTTTTTTTTTTTGCATGTATCTGTTCAGTATTCCTAACACCATTTATTGAATGTGTTATCTTTACCCCATTGTATGTTTCAGCCTCCTTTGTCAAATATTAATTGACTAAAAAGCATAGGTTTATTTCTGGGCTCTCTATTTTGTTCCACTGATCTATTGATATATGTCTGTTTTTTATGCCAGTACCGTGTTGCTTTGATAACTATGGCCTTGTAGTATAGTTTGATATCAGGTAGTGTGCTTTCTCCCACTTTGTTCTTCTTTCTCAAGCTTGCTGTGGTTCTTCAGGGTCTTTTGTGGTTTCATATAAATTTTTGAAATTTGTTCTAGTTCAGTGAAATATGCCATTGGTATTTTGATAGGAATTGCACTGAATCTGTAGATTGCAGATTCAATGTTAGTTCTTCCTATCCATAAACATAGCATATGCTTCCCTTTTTTGTGCCTTCGATTTCTCTCTTCAATGTTTTATAGTTTTCTGAGTACATGGTTTTTACATCCTTGGTTAATTTTATTCCTAGGTATTTTATTCTTTTTGAAGCAATTGTTAATGGGATTATTTTCTTAGTTTCCCTTTTTGATGGTTCATTATTGGCATATAAAAATGCACCTGATTTCCGGATATTTATTTTTTATCCTGCTACTTTACTGAATTTATTTATTAATTTTAGTAATTTTTTTTCTGTGGAATCTTTAGGGTTCTCTATATACAGCATCATGTCTTCTGCAAATAATGACAATTTTACTTCTTTCATTCCAATTTGGATGTCTTTTATTTCTTCCTGTCTGATTGCTGTGGCTAGGACTTCAAGTAGTATACTGAGTAAGAATGCTGAAAGCAAACATCATGTCTTATTCCCAGTCTTAAGGGAAACACTTGTAGTTTTTCCCATTGCATATGATGTTGGCTGTGGGTTTGTCATATATGGCTTTTATTATATTGAGTTATGTGTTCCTCTGTTCCCATTTGCTGAGTATTTTTTTTATCATAAATGGGTGCTGGATTTTATCAAATGCTTTTTGAATCAGACTTATCAAGAAAAAAGAGAGAGGACCCAAATAAATAAGACAAAAAAATGAAAGACAAGTAGCAATGACACCAAAGAAATACAAAGGATCGGAAGAAAATATTACAAACAACTATATGCCAACAAAGTGGACAATCTGGATGAAATGGATAAATTCCTAGAAACACACAATCTTCCAAAACCGTATCAGGAAGAGGCAGCACTGAAGAGACAATACAACTAGTGAAATTGAAAAAGTAATAAAAAAAACTCCCAATAAACAAAAGTTTTAGACTGATGGCTTCACAGATGAATTTTACCAAATGTTCAGAGGAGGACTTAACACCTGTCCTTCTCACTCTATTCCAAAAAACTCAAGAGGAGGGAAGACTCTCAAGCTCATATTATGAGTTCAGCATTATCCTAATCCTAAAACCAGATAAAGACAGTACCAAAAAAATTATAGGCCAATATTCCTGATGAACATTGGTGCTAAAATCTTCAACAAAATATTAGCTAACCACATATAGTAATACATTAAAACGAGCATGCACCGTGATCAAATGGGTTTTATTCTGGTGACACAAGGTTGGTACAATATCCATAAATCACAAAATGTGACATGCTGTAAAAACAAAATGAAGGATAAAAACCACACAATCATATCAATAGATACAGAAAAAGCATTTGATAAAATCCAGCACCCCCTATATCCTTGTGCTAATTGGACATCTTCACTTGAATGTTCACATGCAGTATGTATAAATTCAAACTAAAAATTTCCTCTTAAATTGGTACTATTTATGTATGGGGTAGTTCAATGAATGATATTATCATTTACCAATTTCTCCAACTCAGAAATTTGGGAGTTATTCTGGAACCTTTTTTCCTGCTCCCACATCTAAGTAGAGATGTTGTCTGATAGATTTTATCCCTTAATATCTCTTGTTCTTTTCATTGCATCCCTAATATTGTTGCCTCATCCCAGTCATCTTCTTCTGGCTAGACTATTTTAAGTCCTAAATGGTTTATGCCTTCCGTCTTGAAGTCCTCATCCAAGCTGCTACTTAAAAAAATCTCCCCACAATATGGTTATATTATTGCCTTGAATAAAACCTTTTCAATTGTTCTCTTTTGCTTAGAGATAGGGTGAAGTGCAAAGCCCACCAAATACCATTCAAGGTTTATCAGGATTTGGATCCTGCTTTCCTCTTCAGCCCAGTCTCTCACTGGACACCCTTACTTCCAAACCATAGTCTACTACTGTTGAGCAACAGCTGTTATCTGTATATTGCTTTCTTATATTGTTTTTTCTACATGAAGTATTTTCCTTACCATCACCATTCCCTTCTGACTGGCTACACAAACTGACTTTTAAATATTCAGCTCCGGCAACATCTTTTAGAAGCCTCTCCTGATTCCCCTAAGGTAGCATTGACCACTCTGTCCCTTGTTCTTTAATGTTTTCTTTGGAGAAGTAAATATTTTTTGTTTCACTTATTTATTTCATATATGTTGCTTTTTGCTAGTCTGGGATATCCTTGAAGGTAGGCACTGTATCTCATTCATTTTTCTTCCCCAGGACTCAGTTTCAATGCTTAGCACAAAGTGAGTGCTTAACAAATCTTTGTTGAATTACACATCTTCCCAAACCCTGTTCTAGCTTGACTAATCTATGTATGTTTTCTTGAGTGTACTTTTTTTGTTAAGACATTTTTCCCTGTTTGGAATACTCAGGAAGCTATATAATGTAATAGTTGAGAGCATGGATTTCGGAGCCAGACTGCTTGAATTTAAATACTCCCTCAGCCCAATTGTGAGAACCTAAACTTTCTGTCCCTCAGTTTCTTTATATATAAAATGTAAATAACAGTTTCTGTCTTGTAAGTGCTTTTGTGAAGGTGAATCCTGATTTTTTAAAAATGTGCTTAAAATAGAAATCAGCAAATGCTAAGCTCTCAAGAATATTAGCTAATATTATCATTATTTTAGTTAGTGTATTTAAACGTGACTTTCCTATAAGCTGGTCAGATCTTATTTTTAGAGGAAATTCAAGCCAAATAACATTTCTAAAATTAGATAAAATAATAATTATTTCCCCTGAATACTCCAGGAACAATTAAAATTCAGTTAATATTAGTTCATGAATCCTTGTTTAAAAATTTTTATTTAGTTTTCTATGTTGATAAGCAGTGTCAGCCCCAGGTTTTGCTCAGTTTTGCAGTCACACAAGCACATTTGGTCAAGAGTCTCCCATCCCTCAGGAGGTTGGCAATAATTTCCTGTGACATGGTGAATTGTATATTAAACGTGTTGGAGTTGATCAAGTTACAAGAAGAGAGGAAAAATTCACTAACCATCAATAACAGCAAAGGAATGACTAGGCATTTCGTTTCTTTTCCCACTTTGTGAGAAAGATTCTAGGGCTAATGTTTCCACTATATCTATGTGGTTAGTCAAATATATATATATATATATTTAACACACATATATATATAAAATATAAATCAAAGTCTCACATTTTCTTTACAATTGTCTGATTATCACCACAAAGTGTATCACAATTGGGAAGCAGTGCCTTTATAAGAGCCATCATACACACACATGCATACACACAATCATAACACATCAGATCAGAAAAATCTTACTAATATAAAATCAAATGGCTTAGGGATTCAGCAGTGCTGATATTTCTTAAATTATTTTCATCCTTTTGGAAAGAAAGCACAAAACCTTTGAATTCACAGTCACCTAAAGGCTGAGGTTAACTTGCTAGTAGCAGGTTTGAAAGATGAAAGCCAATATCAGGGGACAGATATTTTCTTTTACAAATAACAGCCCGTTATGTATTGTTCTCCATCACCCACGCCCAAATGGCTACTCGACCTGTGAAACAAATCGCACCATGAGCACAGATAACCCCAGGCTTCAGGTCCGTAATCTGGCTGTAGCCATCAGCAGCCAGAAATGAGTTTCTTTCTAATCAGCCTTTCATCAGTCCCCAGTCACTCATATAAAGGAACCTGGGGAGGGGAGCATTAGCAGTGCTCTTTTTTCAGCACCAGGATTCTGGACAGCTCCCCGAGAGGGCTGCTGTTCTCTCGCTCCTTCCTTTCTTGATCTCCGCCAGGGCTGCTACTGCCCCTCTAGTACCCCCTGCTGCAGAGAAAGAAAATTACATCGGGAACCATGCAGCCGGCAATGATGATGTTTTCCAGTAAATACTGGGCGAGGAGAGGGTTGTCCCTGGATTCAGCGGTACCCGAAGAGCATCAGCTACTTGGCAGCTTAACAGTGAGTACGGAGTAGCTGGCCCTCTCTAGAGAGTGCTTTCAGGGTAACGGTCATCTCATCCTGCCATAATGCCATGTGGACACCTGGTGTAGAGTAAGCACACACACCTCGATTCCTTCCTCTATCACCTGTGTACCCTACCTCCCTCCTGTCTGCCTCCAGTCTTCCTTCTCTCTCCACAGAGTAAAGCAGGTGTACTGATCGCTACACGCTAAACTTCTTTTTCTCAAACTTTGTAAGTAGAAAGCAGCGGAGGTCTTGAACATCAAGGAGAGGTTGTATAAACCGATGTCCTATATCCACAACCAAAAAAAGTGTGTGGAATTTTGAAATGCCATTTATTTTTTAGAAGAAACAGGGAGAATAAATACATTTGCAGGGGTCCCGCAACATTACTGTGTCTCCTATACCCCATTCCATCTACAAAGCCTGATCTTTAAACACAGAAATAATCTTTTCTATTTTTCCCTTTAAGTGCTGGTTATTGGAATAAAAGAAAGATTGAGTTTTCAAAGTTTTTCTACATTCCTCATTTCTCCATTTTTTTCAGTTTAATTGATGAAGTAATAAAAACTACATACTCTTTGTTTCATTATTTAAGGTATTTTCTATTTTTAAATAGTAACAGAATAAAAAAGTAATATTTTGCTGGATTTTAGATTCTGATTTGAGGTAATAGTCATGGGATTTAATAAAAAAGACACTGAAAGAAAAATGTACTGAGATTTCTGGTCATTAAAAATACTAAATGATGTTTCATTACTGTACTATCAGGCTTTATCAACCAATTATAACTCAGTCTGTGTCATAGAAAAAGGCTTTACTATTGTAACTCCACTCTGTGCCAGAGGGTTGTATTGTACTTGTTTATTATTCCTGCTCAAAATATTGAAAAGTAATCAAGGCAAGTTTTGTAGAACTATTTAATCAATTTACAAAAATGAGACTAAAAACTTAAACATAAATTTTCTACCATTTAAATACCATGAGTATTTGGATGAGATATTATTACATGGAAGAATTTCAAAGTCATAATGAATTGCTGGAAGGAAAACAAAGAGAACTCAGAATTATGCTAATTAAATATATTAGATCTGTGCATTTTGTGGTGAGGAGGAGGCAGACGGTGAGAGTATTAAGACATTTGAACTATGAATGACCAAACATACTATTCAATGCCAATATTTGCATAGACTTCTTTTCTCCTTCAAGTGATAAGTAATAAAATATTTTTAATGATATATAAATCTAGTGAGTGAGGTAACAGTAACATGTGAAAATAAAGCTGGTAGAGAAAGCAGAGGCAGACACTGGCAAATCATTATTCATTGGGTTCCATATCTAATGTACATTTCTCAGTTTCATGAGGAGATAATAGATTGGTGTGATTCTATTACATCACTATTTGCCAGGGAGAAAGTTCTCTGTATGTGCAAAAAAGTAAAACCTAATTTTGCTTTGTCTGTCAAAGGAAAGTTTCCAGCTTGTTTATTCTGCAGTTTTGACAATGTGGTCCCAGTTTCTGGAATCTAACCTTTCTAAAAGGTTTTACTAATTTATTTTTAGAGAGGGGAGAAGGGAGGGAGAGAGGGAGAGAAACAATGATATGAGAGAAACATTGATCCATCGCCTCTCACATGCACCCCAACCTGGGATGGGACCAACCTGGAACCGAACCTGCAACCCAGACATGAGCCCTGACCGAGAGTCGAACTGGAGGCCTTATGCTTTGTGGGATGATGCCCAACCAACTGAGCCACGCTGGTCTGGGCTGGAATCTGCCACTTTTATCTTTAGCCAAAAGGACTAATAGTCATTACTTGGTCATATATACAGCATTTTGAATGGCTAATAAAATGTTAATCTCTTTTAGTTTCTCAGATTCTACTTTTTGCACCTAATGATTAGGCAGTTCTCTCTCACTATCTCTCTCTCCCCACTTCACCCCACCTGCACCATTTCTTTTCTTTCCTTTCTTTTTCTTTGTGGCTGAATTTTAACAGCTACTTTTCAGACATCATCTGCTGACACAGATGGCCTTATATGAATATATCCCTTTGTGCTGAACTTCTGCAGATAGATTCACATTAGATATGTGGATCTAATTGCAGACAGTAAGGTTATCAATTTCAGTGCAATTCTGGATACATTTCAGAATGAAATGAATGTTTTTAAGATTTAATTGAAAATAAAATTATTGTTAAAAATATACATTTGGTCTTCTTTTTGTTATGTTTAATAATTAATAATATAGTTTCCATATGAGGCTAACAGGTCAAATTTTATGCTGTAAAATAAACTTAGGCAAAAATTATTCATATATGTGATTTTTTACTTTCTCATAGATGTTTTTGCTCCTAAAGTGAATCAAATCTGATCCCCCTTTAATTTTAATCATTGGATGATGTCTTAAAACCATTGGAAAATAGTTTCCCAGAGTAAATTAGACCAATATTTATGATAAAAAGTTATGAGTTGAATTGACATGGCAACTTCTTGAGTTTATGTGCTTGCTGGGGCTTCCAGCATATGAATGGAGTATCTTAAAAAAAAATGTAGTGGAAGAGAACACTGGAATCCTAACTAATATTTGTGTGTGTGTATGTGTGTATGTGTGTGTGTCTACCCTCTTGAAGCTAAATAAAGCTAACTCTGGCAAAAATGATGATAAAAAAGGCAACAAGGGAAGCAGCAAAAGTGAAACTGCTACTGAAAGTGGCAAGACGGCGGTTGTATTCTCTTTGAAAAACGAAGTCGGTGGATTGGTCAAAGTGCTGAAACTCTTTCAGGTGAATGTAAACTGTCATTACATAACTTTAAAAGTGACTGTGTGCCTGGTTACCAATTTGTCATCCGTTATGAAACATGATTGAATCGTTTCTGGATAATGCGTTAAAAGGTTTGAAGAAACCAAACTTCATGAGGCTTTTACAAGGGGAGTTTGTCTGCCAAACAATATAATAAGCAGACTCGTGTTACCATGGTTCGTGAATTCAGGGTTAGCCCATTAGTAATTCTGTGGACTGTTTCCAGGTGAGGCAGTTAGTAATTTGAAAATGTGAGCCTCCCACCTGGAAAGGCACACACAAAAGGAGTCAGTATGAGTATCTTTAAATATCAGTGCCTGCAGCCTGATTTGAGTTAACATTTGAATCATGTCCATGTCCTGGGAGCCCATTTATGGCAACAAATAAGAGACCGGAGGGTAGGCATTTGATATTCCCCTAATCTTCATTGTTTCATGAACTTCATTTGCCATTTGTAAAGATGAGTCACTCTCCTTACATATAAGCTCTCTCTTAAAGAAATGCAGGAGGCTTTTCTCAGCCCAGATAGGTGGTTTGAACACTGAAGAAAGAGTCTGGTTGAGAATGAGGTTAGAAAAATCCAGAAAAACTATTGTCATCTTGTCAGGGTACACCTGATGGTTCCCTTACTCTCCAGGAAGCACTTACAGTCGCATTTTGTTTGGGGGCAATGGCTGTTGATTAGGTATGACAGGAAGTCTAGCTCTTCGAGGTGCCTTGGGTTACCAGTGCAGTGAAAAGACGGGTGGAATTACAGTCAGAGGGCTCAGGCCTGTGTTCTCCTGGCTTGGCTAAATCCTAGCTGCTTCCTACGTTCAATTTCTTCATTTGTGAAATAGTAATAATTCTTCCTACCTAACAAGGTTGTTGTAATGAAATAATATAAATGAAAATGCTTGGTCAAGTATACAGATATGAGGCATTATTGTAATGTCTCTTTGATGACTGTAGAGGGGAAATTAGCAGCCTGATTTGGCAAATATTTCCTCGTTCTCTTTTGACCTTGAAGAAAGGATCAGGCACCATAAACAGTGGTAATGGAAATCTGGGGCAATATTTTACACATAATTATGTCATCCGGTGCTGTCTCCATATAGTGCCCAAAGGCAGGCCAATTCAATTAGACAGCTGGGTGCAGTGGAGACACCCCCTGAGAAGGAGTAGTGGCCCTCTGCTTTCGCTTGGCCATCAGCTCATCGTGGGGTCTTAGCTAAACCACTTAACCCATCTGGACCGACTCTGCTTGAACCAGAGGGCATTAAAAGGCCAAAATGACACAATCTCTGTGAAAACTCTTGAACTTTGAACTTAATATTAGTCTTACCTTTATTATCTGCCAGCTTAGAAAATGTGGCATTTGCACAAAGGTTAATCAAAACAGAAACAGAGCATTTAGCTTCCTTGTCACAGGACTACTCTCTTTAGATAGAGGAGGAATTGTGCTGGTAGTCAGAGAAGCCCATCCAGAGTGATGAGGAGGTGTCTGCTTATTTGGCGGTGGGTTAGGGTGGAGAGGAGAACTGAGTCTTCAGTTAACTCAGGGGAAAGCAAGACAGCATCCCTGGGAAAACTAAACCTGAGGTTTAAGTATTAAATTGCTGCCATCCCTCAAACACCTTATTGTAGGGAGACTTTTACCCCCAAAATCCATCATGGGGTGGTAATTGCAACAAAACATTCTCCTAGGAAGCTAGCCTGGAGGTTGTTAAAAGAGAACAGTTACTAAGTGGTCGCATTTAGGGGTTATTTGTTTGCTTTTTGGTTTAGCATTCAGAGATCCACACGTGGCCACTTTTCTTCCTTTTCTTTTCCTTCAATGTGGACTCCACTTTGGCTCACGGTTCCCAAACATCGGTCATTTTCATAACACTGTCCCAATTTCGGCCTCTTGTTCTATTCACTTTTTCAAAGATTATTTTGTTTTTAAATGTTAAAGTTTATTTTTAATATTGAATTTATAGTGGAAACTTTACACCAATGTAAAATCAGGGGTTTCAGTTTTACTTATGTTTTTTAAATGTATGAAAATAAAGATATAAATCTGGGGATTATGAGATAATAACCTAATCGCTCCCCAGCCCCCAACCCAGGAATAACCGTGCAGTGGGATGTGGGCTGCTCTGAGGGATGATGGCATCTGTAATTACAATACATTTTATAGGGCCCTTTATATATCTTAATGCCCCTTCCTCCCCCTTCTTTTAAAATGAGACAGGAAAACTGATTACAGTATCTATTCCTATGAATAATAGTACTGGTTGAAAACATTTTCGTGTTTTCACCAACTAAAGAGGGAGGAGATTGTCTTCTTTTGCTTTGTGGGCACTTGGCACCGTGTTGAAGGGGAACAGCTTGTAGCATCCATTTCATTGTGCCCTGGAGGAGATTTAGAGATGTTGCTTCTATTTCCACAGGAAAAACACGTCAACATGGTTCACATCGAGTCCAGGAGATCCCGGCGAAGAGGTTCAGAGGTGGAGATCTTTGTGGACTGTGAGTGTGGCAAAACAGAATTCAATGAGCTCATTCAATTGCTGAAATTTCAAACTACGATCGTGACGTTGAATCCACCGGAGAACATTTGGACAGAGGAAGGAGGCAAGGCCAGTTTTTGCTTGTCGGGTGGTTTTGCAATCTGACAAGTGTTGCAAAGGGGAAAACACAATCTGTGAACTAATATATTTGATCCTGCACTGTGTTTTCAACAGAGCTAGAGGATGTGCCCTGGTTCCCCCGGAAGATCTCTGAATTAGACAAATGCTCTCACAGAGTTCTCATGTATGGTTCTGAGCTTGATGCCGATCACCCAGTAAGTGTCCAGTACAATCCATTCCATATGTGCTTTTCCACCTCCATCCATGTGCCAGGCACTGTGCCATGTTCTGTGCTGTAACGCTTTATTGTAGAGCAATTTATTATTTATTCCCTGTAACTGAGAGCAGACTTTTAAATGGTAAAGCTTCCTTGTCAATATGCTTTGGTTGGAAACAGGTTAGGAAAATGACATTTCCACAAAGCATTCATTTTTTAAAGGGTTGGATAGAGGCGGAGATTTTAAACCTTGGAGAATGCTTCTGTGGAATTAGACAGCCTGAAATACACTTGCAGATGGTGACCCCTGGAAAGCCCATGAACTGAAATTGATCACTCTTTTGGGAAACTAGGGAGGAATTGGCATTATGGGGCTCAGCGAGAGAATAAAATTCTCCTTGCTATTTTCCTTGACTAGAGGTATTAGGAATAGAGTAATGTAGTGGACTTCGGTCTCAATGGAAAGGCACAAGGTTTTAGAATAAGGCCATGACATAAGACACATCTCTTCCCACATCTACCTGAAATCTATTTACCACCATCTCTCCCCTGTTTCAATAAAAATGACCATCTTGAAAGAAATATGATATGTAGGTAAGCATTTCCCACTATTCCCTCCCTCCCGCTTTACATTAGTTTTTATTTAATACAAGAGGCCTGGAACTTCTTTATGGTCAGAATGAAGTACAGTTAATAGTCTGGGAGAAATAAGCAATGTCCTCATTCATTACAAGTATTTCCCCCCCAGTGCTTTTTGTCTGTAAATAGGCAGATAAAAAGGCAAAACCCAAGCAGATCAGTCATGCTTACAGGAGTGTTTGTGGTCTGAGGGTCATGGCTTATAGATATTCATTTTATTTAAATGGAGGCAGTCTGGAAATAGGAGAGCAGGACTCCATGCAGCGGTTGGTCCCGAGAGCAGCTGCATCTGTAGCACCCGGGAGCTTGTGTTAACAAGCCCACACTTAAGTTTGAAAACTCTGCTTTAAAGAAAACTGTGACAACTTCAACAAGAGGAAAATTTTCAGTCAAACCAGCCATTTGACATGATACATCCATTCAAACGAATTCATAACATATAATTCATACAAATGGTCAAACACATCTAAACATCTACTTCAATTGCATTATTTTCAAAAACCTGAATTTACTCAAAGACACGGTTTGTTGTATTTGCCATCATAGCCTAAAGTTTCGGAAAAATTCACAGTAATTTCCATGTAAGGCTCCTGAACACTAGAAAAACACTCAAAAGTGCCTTCAGTAATCTTCCATTTGTCATTTTCCCTTTCCCCGGCTTCCAAGGAGTCAGAATTAACACAAAAGTCCGATGGAAGAGGTTGGCAGTGAGGGGACTGTCCAGATTCCAGCTGTTAACTTGCAGGATGACCTTGGGCAAGTCCCTCTACCTCTGTACCTCCAATTCTTTATGTAAAAAGTGGAAATAAAATTCTTAATGACCTCAAAGGGGCATTTGAAAAGCCTAGCTCATAAAGCAAGTGGAAAGCATTTTGGCAAGGATAAATACTTAATTCCAGGAATGGAAATGCTGTATTAAATAATCCAGATCAAGGCCTGGACACTAAAGGATTTCTTGCTAACGTATTTCCAAATGCTCCCCTTAGTTTAGTTTGAAAATTACTTACCCAGAGAAAGGGGGTCAGTCCTTTAGATGGAAAAACCATAGGAACGACTGACCTTGCTGTGAAAAAAAATGTATTCAATCCCCAGTGCACATTGTCCTGTGTTTAATTTTGTTCCATTATTCCTAATTACACTCACCTTATGATACCTTTTCTTATTTTTTTTGCAGCCACTTTAAATAATCGCAATTACTTAGCAATCTCTCACCTCAGTCATTTATTTTTACCACACATATTTCTTTTGTAAGCACACCAAATGTTCAATATGCAAAATTTGATATTGGTAAGTTGATGTTTTTTATGTTATTATCTGAGGATAATCCCAGGCCTGAGAGGGGTTATTGTGAGAGGATGGTCCCCTAGCACTAGGATGGCTCATAAGGGGCTTGGTATGTGAGTCAGGCCACTGAGGCCCCTTAGACACGGTTAAATATCTGTCCAGGCCAGTGCCTCTCAAACTTTAATGGGAAAGCAAGTCACCTGGAATATCTTCTCAAAATGCAGAGGGGGGTCCTGAGATTCTGGAGAGCTTCCTACGATTTGCGGTGAGCTCCCAGCTGAGGCTTGCTTGCGGAGGTCTGGAGACCACTTACTGACTAGCAAGGATCACTGGGAGGGTCTTTCCAAGTGTGGTCCAAGGTCCATCTGCAAGGTGTTTGTTAATGAGCTCTAGCGTCTGAGAACTACTGTCCTAGCTCACTGATTCTCAGTCAAGCTTTCCAGTCAAATAATCTGTGGGGGATTAAATGACCTACTGGTGCCAGGGTCTCATTTCAGAGTGCTTGAATCAGAACGTCTGGGAGTGCAGCAAGGTTTGGAGTAGTATTTAAAGCTCCCAGGTGATTCTAAAATTCCACCAGGTTCACTTGGAATAGCTGCTTGAGCGCTGATGTACTTTTAGCTGAGTACTTCAGGGTGCTGGCCTGGTCTTCAGTTTCCCTTGATTTAAATTGAGAGAGGAAGGGTGGGTATCGAGCAGATACTTTTTGGGTTCTAGGGTTGCCAGATTTAGCAAATCAATATACAGAATGCTCAAGTTAAATGTTAATTTCAGGTAAATAACAAATAATTTTTCTTAGAAGTATGCCCCAATATTGCACAAGTGTTCAGTATTTTATCTGGTGACCTTTCCCCTGGCTTCAGTCCACAGTGGATGGAACGCTGTGTCTGTGATCGCTCATGCAGCCAGGATCCCTGTTTTATTTTGCCGGTCCATGTTTCAGCTCTGGATTGTCCACAACACTTGTGTAATCACCGCCACTCTAGGCTAATGAGGCATGATGAGTAAATCACTCTTTCGCACGCCTGGAAAAGGTGCAGGTGTTTGCCGAGGAGAGACAATTGAGATTCTTCAGGAAGCCCAGCAGATTATGATACTTGTTACCATGGTGTCCGGTTTGGCAGGAACTGGGGGACAGATGCTGTGCTTTTCACATGACTCTTTTCCTTTTGCCACGGCCTGCTTTCTTTTTGAGTAATAAAGGTGCTTGGATTTCTTCCGTTTAACCATCCCAGGTTGCTTGGTACTAGTGAGTGCTGAAACTCACCCTCTCTAGCCTCATTATGTGTAACCTCTGTATTAGGAGTTCCCTTTTTAAATCACAGACCCACTCGTGAGTGTGGTAGCTATGGTCACAAAATTTTGTATACGCACATTGTAACACTTCACAAGCCTGCCTATGAGCCTCAGTTTAAAAACTCCCAGTTCATAGCGAAAGGAAGGAAGTGCGAGCTGCAGGGGCAGGAAACTTCATTTCTGCAGGGCGTTTGGGTGATCTCTGAGTACTCTGTCTCTCCCTTAGTAAATCTCTTGTCTCTCCTGAGAGAAAGTCTGCTGGCAATGGAAGCTCTTCATTTCCATCCAGCAGACAGTCCTGTGAAGACTTCTGCCCTGAAGGCCCGTTCTCCCTCAGCCAGGAGAGAGAATGGAACGATTTTCTATGAGTTTGAGTTCCTGGTGGACATCCCTCCTTGCAGAAGTGTCTGAGGTGCAGCAGAGGGAGGCTGGCCTGCGTGGTCTGTGGCGGCTGCCCTCTCAGAGCCCCTGACTCCAGCGGCGGTCTTCTTGTCTGGCCGCGTTCTCAGAGTGGCCACTGCTTCCTGGTTTTCTTTGGGGGCTGCAGCCGTAGAAAGTTAAGTTGAAACAATTCCCTCTGGGCTTCCAGCAGTTTGAAGAAACAACCCTGGAGAGAATTGATTGTCTGAAAGTACCTGAAGGGAAAGAAAATGGAAAGCCTGTAGACAAGAGGAGAGATTCTTGAGTAAACCAACAAGTCCTCTCAGGAGGATTCCACTAGACTGAAGAATGACAGACAGGATGTTTAATTTCCCAAGTGTTATGATGATGGATAAAAGTCTTGAAGTTGCTAAAGACTTGTCGGAGTCACAGGAACCCAGAGTAGAATGGAACTAACCTACCATCCTGTGCATGAGTCCCTTAGAATTGATTTTGCATTGTGTGCCTCTATTTATAAAATGCAGCAAAACCTCTTTAATTTATACTAATTTGAGGCTTTGATAATTACTATGAATGACAGAATTTTAATAAATGCCCATTTATTGATCATTTTCGCAAAACAATGAAATTTAGGTTAACTTACGGAGTAACCAGGTTAAAGGGACCCGTTTAAATGAAAAAGATAAGATTAAGTTGTGTTGACGATCAATTACATGTAAATGAAAACCAAAGGATATTGTTCACTGTCTCTTTACTCAACTAAGCCATTCTGCCTACATAGTGGCAGGGTAAGCGTTAGCCTGAATTCCCACACGTCTCGAATTAGGGCAGCCCCAGTTCAATGAGGGCTCACTGCAGTGCGGTCGCGTCCCCCTGTGTCATCAGGGTGCTCATACAAGGATAACAATTTACATTTGAATTGCGTGCTCCGCACTGCAGGGAGTTTCGTTTAGGCCTCCTGCAGCTAATTTTTTGGCACTCTGTTAAATCACTTAATCTCTCTTCTGTTTAAGGGATTTAAGGACAATGTCTATCGACAGAGAAGAAAGTATTTTGTGGATGTGGCCATGAGTTATAAATAGTAAGTACCTGTATGACTGTTTTCTGCAAATTGTCACTGGCTAGTTAGAAAAAACACATGCTGTGTTAAGCACACCTGTCTTCTCTTCACTTTTACTTTTCTGAACGCAGACATGAACCATTTTAAACACTCACCAACTCTGCAGCCTTTAAATGCCAACAGTGATGTTTGACATCCAGGTATAATTGTACAAGAAGGAGACCTGTGGGCCACATGCCAAGTGCTACATTTTCACCATTGTGTTTGCAGCTCCGCTAAGGCAAGGAGTCATTTTTGTGCGCTCTGCAGGGCCCCAAAGATGTATTTTAATTTTACTTTTGATTCGACTTTTCAGTAATCTACGGCACTGCCTAGCTGCTCCAGTGAAAGTGGAGAATTCAGCAAGGATGGCAAAAGGGCTCAAGCAAGCAGCCATAATAAGAGAAACATGTTTGCTTTATGTGAGAAGCAACACTTCTTAAAAACTGGAGCATTTATGTGGAAGAGTTTCATATCAATCCTGAATTTGGGTCGGTATGGAATTGAAGAACCTTGGGACTGGCGTGAGGACAGTGCACTGTGCATGGTATTAAGTGGCAGTGACAGGATGTTTGCGACAGGCAATAATGTAGTGTGTTGACTACAGGCCACGTCTCAAAAAATGGCAGAAGTGTTAGGCCTCTCTTTATTCTGCTCACACTAATAAAACTTATAGACCATCACGGCGCTATCTTTACTTTGTCTGGTACGTGATCAGCCACATAAATCTTGTCATTAGAAGAAAATATAAATCCATAACTAATAGGAAAGATTCTTTCTGATTCTAGTTGAGACTAGGGGAGAAACTTGACTGTCCTGTGGAGCAAGTTTGACTTTGGTGAGAATTTAGGATATCATGTATGTTATACAAGGTATTAGTGCCTTCCTTCCTTCCTTCCTTTCCTTCCTTCTTTCCTTCCTTCCTTCCTTCCTTCTTAAGGAATATGACACACAAGTGCTTAAAGCAAAATGAGAGGATTTCCTCTCACACCCCTGATTGGTGGACCAGTCATTTGCCCATTTCTAATTACCCTTGATGCTTTGGTCCCCTTCCTTTGCTCCTCCTAAGCCCCACACATCCTTCATCCTTACTCTACTATGTTTTGAGTCCTAAAAACCAGGACTACTTGGCACATGCTTTTCTGCATGTGTCTACTCCATTCTCATCTTCTCTCTCCCACGCAGCTTCTTGACTCTTTTTAGACTACTGTAACTTTCTACCCCCTCACAATGTCAGTGTGCTGATGGCTTGTCCTGGGCCAAGCCCAACTTCCTGCCCTCTTTGACCTTGAGCACCATCATTTCTAACCCTGTATTCGAACGTTTCCCAGTCAAATTGCTAAGATAGCACTCTGATGGCCCGAGCTCACTTTTTCACTTCAGGCCCTGCTAAGTGGTTGTGAGTGTTGGGATTAGCTCCTCTTGGTTCCCAGCTCCTCCCTGTGGAATCAGGTCATGCCTGTACTGATGGGTCCTTAGAAGGGGTGGGGGCAGGACATGCCTTTAGGACCTGTGCAGACCTGTGCTGGGCAGAGCCTTTTCCTTTAGATAAAAGGTAAATAAAAATGTATTTTATATGTAGACGCTATATGTAATGTGTTATTTATAAGAACAGTATATAAATGTATGTGTGTGGTATATAAAGGATTTTGTTAGCAAAATCCTAGTGATTGAGGAACTAGTTCAAATGTTATCTATTTCTTTCCGACAGACCCCAGAAACTGGTCAAAGGCAAGGTGATATTGTAATGATAGAGTCGGTATATATGAGTCAACCAGTTTTAATAAGAATTGATGTGGGCAGTCTTTTCATTTTAAAGAAAACATGTTTACATAGAGAGGGGAGGGAAAGAGCACACAGTAGAAATGGAGGGTGAGGCTCTCAAAGTATTAACAAGTTTGCATTTACTGTTTTCTCTTAGCTAAAGAGGGACATTGAGGTGTGGTGTCTATGGGAAACAAAAGTAAAAGTTGGAGGTTGGAAATGATGGAGATTTTAATCAAAGGAGGGTTTTACACAGCTGCGGCATTCCAGGATCTGGCCCAAGTTTAGAGCTGGGGTGCATGGGGGGGAGGGGTCAGCTCAGGCTTGAGGGCCTGACTCCCCCTAACTGGTGTATGTTCCCTCTATTCCCACTTTGGTGAGAGTTTTTATAAGTGCATGCTAGGTTTTGTTAAATGCTCTTTCTGAATCGTTTGATATAAGTATATGATTTTTATCCTTCATTTTGTTTATATGCTGTATCATTTTAATTGATTTGCAGATATCGTACCAACCCTGAATCCCAGGAATAAATCCCACCTGATCATGTTATATGATCGTTTTAACATATTGCTGGATTTGGTTTGCTAATATTTTGTTGAGGATTTTTATATCTATGTTCATCAGGGATGTTGGCCTATAATTTTCTTTTTTTATCTGCCTTCAGTGTTAGGACAATACTGGTGTGGTAAAAATGAGCTTGGGAGTCTTCCCTCCTCTTGAATTTTTTGGAATAGTTCTGACTAACTCTGGCCCTGGGGTCACACGTAGCACAGTGGTCTCTACCCCAAGATTATTAGCACACTAACAGTGCTTTTTTTTTTTTTTTTTTTTTACTTACGACCTCTAATCCATCTGGAATTTTTGTTTGAAATAATCAAAATGTTATTTCAGATAAAAACAAACAAAAATAAGTGAGCAGACATGAAAAGACACCTATTATAAGATTCCATTGATAGGAAACTTCCAGAATGGTTAAAGGAACAGAGACAGAGAGCAGATCAAGGATGCCAGGGACAGGAGGGTGGGGAGTGAGCCCTTCTGGTGCAGGGTTTCCCTTTGGGGTGGTGGAGCGTCCTGCAACTAGACAGTGGAGGTGATGCTTGCACAGCATCTTGAATGTACGTCATGCTCAGGAATCGCACAAATTTAAAATACAAACAATAACTTTTATTTATTACTTAAAATGAATCACATTGTGGAAAAGTGAAGGATAAAGAAAGAAAAAAGAAAAAATACAAGAAAAAACACTCAAAGAATCCCAAGTAATAAAATTTAAAACATAAAACACTGAATCATGCCATGGAGAAAAGGAAAACATAACCATGAGAGCAAATAAAAGAAAACGGTCAAAGAATGAAGGTAAAACAAATTCATCAGGTTCAGTTTTCCCAATATCATTTATTGAATAAACTCTCTTTAGCTCATTGCATGTGCTTGCTTCCTCTGTCGAATATTAACTGACTATAAAGGTGTCAGTTTTTTTTCTGGGCTCTCTATTCTGTTCCTTCGATCTATGTGTCTGTTTTTATGCCAGTACCATACTGTTTTGATTGCTATGGTCTTTGAGTATAGTTTGATACTAGGTAGTATGATTCCTCCAACTTAGTTCTTCTTTCTCAGGATTGCTGATGCTATGCATGGCCTTTTGTGGTTCCATGTACATTTTTGAAATATTTGTTCATATTCTGCGAATTACATATTGGAGTCTTGATAGGAATTGCCTTGAATCTATAGATTGCTTTGGATAGTATGGACTTTTTAATTATGTTAATTCTTCCCATCCATGAACACAGCATGTACTTCCACTTATTTGCATCTTCTTTAATTTCTTTCTTCAGGGTCATATAATTTTCTGAGTACAGGTCTTTTACATCCTTGGTTAGGTTTATTCCTAGGTATTTTATTCTTGTTGTAGCAGTTATGAATGGGATTATTTTATTAATTTCCCTTTTTGTTAGTTCATTATTGGCATATAAAAATACAGCTGACTTCTGAATATTAATTTTATATCCTGCTACTTTGCTGAATTCATTTATCAGTTCTAATGGTTTCTTGGTGGAATCTTTGGGGTTCTCTATGTACCATATCATGTCATCTGCAAATAAAGACAGTTTTACAACTTTTCTTTTGCTGCCACTTTAATAAATACTGTCATTCAAATGTTCCCTGGAAGTAATCCTTGGAATAAAACTCCTTCGGTGTCCCATTTAAATACTGTTGTATATACTGATGCTGTTTGTCTGACCCAACATCCTTCTTGGCGGAGAGATTTCAAGCAAGTAATCATGTTCCCATTTGGGCATGTGTGGGCAGCTGCCAAAATACTGGTAACAGATGGAGAGTTGCCTGGGGTGCTTCTTGTCAGTGGACAGAGTGAGCAAAGTGCCTACCAGGAGTGCTTAAATCTGGAAAACATGAAATCAGGATTTGTAGAATGTAGAGAAAAAAAGAGTCATTTCTTAATTCCCTTCATGCCATCACTGCTGTGGCTGCTCTGGGTATGAGTTCGAGGACGGGTAAGGGCTAACCATTGTGTGCGTGCGTGTAAATACATGTGTGTTTGCAAGCTGAGGGGGGTGTCCTGGTGCTGGTGGGGGTGGGGCATAGATACTAACAAGTCCCAAGGGGGCCTGGGTCATCTTCTCTAGTTTGCCATGCAAAAAGTAAGGTTTGCTTTTATTTTACAGAAAATAAAGCTACAGTTTCTGTTTGAAATAGCTCCTTTTCTAGTGTCAATAGCTTACTGAATGAGCAAAGGAAAATGATGTCAATATAGTCATTCCTTAAAATAAGCCTATTTGAGTGGTTTCTGGCAGGGTGCTAGGATCTGACTTCCAAACCAGAGCTTGAACCACTGGTCTGAGAGCACGTCATTTGAAATTGGGGTAGTCCAGAAAAACCTAGCATGTGAGGTCCCTACAAACATAGTTTGGTGGTAAAGTCAGAGACCATTCTGACACGGGGAGACCAGTTCAAATCCTTGTTGGTAGTTTGTTAAGGTTTTCAGGACGCTGAAAAGAAGTCAAATATATGGCCAGAAATATAGACAAAGATGGGGTAGAGATGTTTTAGGGCTGCTGTTGGGATTGGCAGGATGTAATCTGAGGTGTCTAAAGGGAAGGGGCATGAAATACAGAGTAATACCTATTGAAAGCATGGCCAGGGAGCCCTCTGGGGAAGCAGTAATGAATGCTGTGACAGTCTTAAGAGGATAACGC